CCCATTAACTGCTCCTTCCATAATTCTTCCTCTGCCCCACTGCAATCCGGAAATATTAAATATTTAGGTATTAATGTTTCTCCTAAGCTTTCGATGATTTTAATGATCACACGTGGGAGATGGATACTGTACGCAGACAGCCTCTGATCTCGAAATGGTGGAGCATTGCTCAAACTCTTATAGCCTCTGGTTTTCCCACCTTATCATAAAAAGCCTAAACATTCACATGCTTTCTCTCACACAGCGCCTAAGCTACAACCTTGGCTCCCTGTTTATCTGCTCCTGCTGAGATGGGGCAGAAAACTCCAGCATGTTCTGTTCTCTTCTAATCAGACAAATAAGGTGATGACTTTCTGCGAACCGTATTTCTTATAACTCAGCAGTATAATGCATCATAAAACAATATCATTCATTCACAATAAGTCAGCAGTTTAATGTAATGCAAATCAGTTTAACTAATGCAATAGTTATCAGCTTCTTCTAATTCAGGAGAATAATGCAAACTAAAACTACATAATAATTCACAATCTTTAATTAGGGGTCTAACATGGCATAAAATAATATTATAATCTAACAAGATCCCTTTACAAACCTCCCCTCACGAAAAAGCATGCAGACTTGCAGTGGAGAATTGTTCATGGCATTGTTGCTGTAAATTCTTTTGTTTCTGTTATTAACGCTGCTGTGGAAGACAAATGTCCATTCGGTGTGCAGAGGGAGAACCTGTTTCATTGTTTTTCTGAATGTGTTCGCCTCTCGGCTCTGTTTGTGCTTCTGAAAGCTATCTTTAGTAGATGTGGGGTGACTATTTTTATTTGTGGTTTTAGATTTACTCGTCTTAGGAAGAACAAATCCCAGCTGCTTAATTTTTTGTTAGGACAGGCAAAAATGGCTGTGTATATGAGCAGGAAGAGAAAGTTGTCAGAAGGGCTGAATGTTGAGGTAGTCCCTGTGTTTAGGGACACACACACGTATATGTTGGGTATCCATAGCTTTTGGGGACACCTAGTTGGCATTATGCTTCCCCTAGCCCCTTACCTTAAAGTTAACCAAAACCCAATTCTAACCCTGTCACTGAAACCACATTCTGAGTCTCAAAAATGCCTTCAAACTTTTTGGGACTGGGATTTTGGTCCTCATAAGGGCTGTTGGTCCCAATAAGTATGGCTGACTTCCAAATTTTGGTCCCCACCAAGATAAGAATACACGCTTACACACAGATGTGTTTTCATCACGGATCAGTTTAGATGATTAAATCATCAGAATAAATTATAACAGTACAATTATTATTAGAAATCAACTTAAATAATAAGCACATCAATATATTTTTTTGTAACACAGAAAAAAAATTCAAGTAAAATAAACATCTGACTTCTTAGACAGATGTTCATCAAGTGAGTTTCTTCTGAATCTCTTCTATTTTCTTCTAAAGAAACAAAATAAAATCTTCTATGATAAAATTTACTCAAAATGCATGTCTTGTTAAACTGTATATAGTATAAATTTAAAGCAAAAAAATATAGAAATATCAGGCATCACATTGCAAAATGACAGCACAGACAAAAATAACCCATGTTTTATTTGTTGTGTTACTCTGTCATTCGCTGATTAAAAAAAGGAGAGACACTAAAGACACTGGGAACGTAAAATGAATATAACACGACAGTTTATACATGTGATTTTAGCAAGAAATATATTCCAGAAAAACTCATCCTGACTTCTTGGACAGTTGTTCATTGTTTCTTGCTTCTTTCTCTGACAGTTTCTTCTAAATGTCTTTCATTTCTTTAATTCTCTCTGAAGTGTATCCCCATCTGATGTCTGTGTTGTGTGTGTATGGTCGGGGGGGGGGTTCATTCCACTGCAGGGCACCATTTCACTGCATGTGGCGAATAAAGCCTTGATTGATTGATTGATTGATTGTTTAAAAGTATATAGTATAAATATAAAGCAAACAAATAAAGAAACATTAGGCATCATATTGCAAAATGACAGCAAGAGAAAAAAAACAGCAAAATCCATGTTTTGTTTGTCGTGTTACTCTGTCCTGCGCTGAGGAAGAAAAGCAAAAAAACGGGTTAGGTTCATAACTGAAGACACTGGGAATGTAAGCTGAACACAACACGATAGCTTGTACGTGTGATTTTAGCAAGAAATATATACAAGAAAAACTTACACACCTGTTCAGTGTCTCTCGCTTGTTTCTCTGACAGTTTCTTCTAAATCTCTTTCATTTTTTTGTTTCTCTCTCAAGTGTTTAATAATTTGTTCCTTGTCTATTTCTAGTTTTCCCTTTCTTTCTGTCATTTGGATTATAATGTTCTCCGTTTCCTCCATTAGCTTTTCTGTCATCTTTAACAGTTCTTCATGTACTTCTGTTCTCTTTTCCAGGTCATTTTTTTTATCTCCACGCTTCTGCATTTTTTTCTCTTTGTCATGTATTGAGTTTTCTTTCTCCAACTTTTTCATGACCTCTTTCATCTCTGCCTTGTCCTCCTGCAGCAGTGTGTTGAGTTTTTCTCTCTGGTCCTTCAGAGATGTCTTCTGCTCCATCAGTTTTTCAATGGTTCGTCTGACATGTTTTAAGTCTTCCTCATTGTTCTGCAACTCATCTTCAAGTCTTTTTTTTCCCTCACATTCTCTCTGTAATTTTTCCTTCATCTCTGTTTGATGTAGTTCATTTTCGTCCTCATCATGTTTGCTGATTTCTGTGTGAATAAAAATGCAAAAAAAAAAAAATGTTCAAAAGTAATATCGCTGAGAGCTAAAAAAAAAAACCAGACTTGCTTCCTACAGTAAACATTTTTCCCCCAAAATTTCACATTTGCAGGGGAAAATGAAATCATAAACAGCATCACAAAAAAGTTAAATAATTCGCACTGAAACAGTGTTAATGAAACCTAATAAATATCAGGTAGATATATATATTATGTTTTTAAGAAACATTTTAAACTAAAACACTAAAAGAATATAGATTATGTTGGTTCCAAAGGTAGGGATAAATTTAGTAATCAGTACATGTTTAAAGTTCCAAACTACTGCATCCATGAATTTAATGATTATCTGCGTTTGTCAGAAAAGTATGATAAAGTTAGAACTTACTGGTTTTCTTTTGTCCGCATTTCCATATTAGTAATGCTGTTGTACCAATCGATATTAAGCAAACAGCTAGGTTGATAGTAATCGGAACAGCAGGATTACACTGGACCAAGTAGAAATCACCTTAAATTAGAAAGCACACAGAATGTACTGTCTGTAAATAAGAAGTAATGTGAATAACTAATAAAGTCAAGCCATAGGTGGACTGGCCATCGGGCATACTGGGCATTTGCCCGGTGGGCCGATGGTGATTTTTCATTTTCATGGGCCGATGGGGGTTTTTTTTGTTTGTCTTTTGTAACGGTATAAACAATGAAAGGTGGTTGATTGGCCAGATGTTGGCAGATGTGTAAAAA